CGATTCGCGTAGCATCAACCATCTCACTCAAAAGAGTTCGGCGTACCCGGGCCAAGAGCCTCCTTGGGGGCCTTGCAGCGCTTGCGAAGGGAGTAGAGCTGGAAGCAATCCTTCAGGAACTTCTCGGCCGCCTTCTTGTTGATGCTGCCCAGATTCTTGGGATCGTAGAACTGCCAGATCTCTCGCGCCATCTAGATCCACACCTCAGCCACATTGGCCAGCCGGTCAGCTCTTCCATTTAATCAATTCAATTCATTCATTGGTAATCGAAAAGAAAAAATAAAAAGAAGAAAGACATAAACGCACCTGATCTATTTTTGTTTCAAGGTCTTCATCGATGTCTAGTTCGTCGCTGGCGGTGGGGGGCTTGATGGTGCCCTTCTTGAGCTCCTTCACCAGCTGCTTCTTCATCTGGGGATCATCGAACACCGTGTAGCCGTCGGGACTCGGGAACACCGTCTCCATCAGAACCAAACCCTTGATGCTCGCCGCTCCCATTGTCTTGTCTACTCTATCACTACAACTCGCTTGCTCTTTGATGATGTCCCTCCTTGTGCTTCTTCGCTCCAATTCTTATTTGTGCAGCAACCACAAATTAATGAACGTCGACACATAAATTGTTTGCGTTTTTGTTTCGGTCACCGCTCGGTGGCGGCCAGGTGCAGCCAGCGCTGGAGGACGACGGCGTAGGTGGCGTCTCTGCGGCTCCTCGACGAGGCCGGCAGGCCACCCGCAGCCCCGCCCAACGCGGTGGTCAGCGGGAAGAAGTGGTGCGACGTGACCACACTTTGGCTCGCCGTCGCGCCTCGGCCGCCGATGGCAGCAGGCTTGTCCCCGGCGCCCGGCTCCTTGCCCGCACTGCCGCGCCCTGCGGCAGCAGAAGCAGTCGCAGTCGCGTGGTCCTCCTCGGCGATCATCACCTTCTGCATGATCTGCAGCTGGTGCGACTGCACGAGCGACACCAGACTCACCTCTCTATTTGTTTTTTTTGTTATTTTTTCGATCGAAACGTCAATCAAGAAAAATGAAAGAAAAAGAGAGAAGAGACGTACATGGTGGTGGCCTTGTCGGCGAGTGACTGGAAGAGCAGCGAGAGGTCGCGTTTCTCCACCGGGCGCCCCTCTTGCATGGCCGCCTGATGTAGATCTGGAATGACGAGTCACCGGCCCACGCCCGTGAGATATAGTGCGCGGCAGCACTGGGGGTGACATCGGGGGAACAACGAGTGATTGGGGGGGGGAGGAATGGGGGCGGTACCGCCGAGCAGGCGGTGGGAGAGCTGCATGAGCAGGTACTCGATGAACTCTTCGTCGGAGAAGATAGGCTTGGCGCTTCCGCACACGATCTTGGTGCCGTCCACGACTACGTGCACAACCAAGCTGCACACACGACACACACACACGACACACAACACAACACACGACGCACGCACAGTGAATTGAGGAACGCAGCCTCGCAGCCATGAGACGACACGCATGACACGCACACAGAACCAGACACTCACCTGGAGGCGAAGAGGACGTTGAAGGAGGAGACGGTGGGCGATTTGGGCGAGAGGAACCAGTGGGTGGCGAGGAAGGGCGTCGATGCGCAGAGGGCGCTCAGACGGGCGTGCAGGCGCTGACGCAGGCAGTGGTGCCGGAACGTGTCGAACAGCGCGTTGGCCATCCGAATTCCCACTCTGCACGCACGCACCAGTCAGCCTCGGCTTGCATCGCAGCTCCTCTTCCACGAGTCGTGTGCGATGGTGGGTGTGCTTGGTCGCTGTGGTACCTTCGCGAGGGCGGAGTCGGGGGCGCCGGATTGATCTGCAATCGGAGCAGCTGGTCTTGCTGGGAAGCAGGCAGCGCGTGAGCCGAAAGACATTGGTGTGAGAACACACACACCACACACACGACACACACGACACACACATCACACACACGTCTTAACACGTACGTGTTGTCGCCAGAGTTTGAAGAGGAGGACGGTGAGGGTGTCGGCGATGTTGCCCTCCCCGTCCTTGTGCTCGTCTTCGTCGTAGTGGTGCACGGCCAGCGCGTCCTCCTCGCCCATGCCCTCCACCCACTCCGTACCATCCTGCTCAACTATCAGCATTCTTCACATTCATGACACACGACACGACACGCACGACCGCACACGCGTGATCGCACACGCACGCAAAGTGAGGGAGAGGGTACGGGAGGGGCGGTGCGGGACGAGGCGAGGCGGATGGAGAGCGGGCGTGCGCGGATGGTGGCGTCGTAGAAGGTGATCTCGTTCTCGAACACGTGGGCGTGGTTGGACCACCACCACTCCGACTTGTGGCCCTGGCGCGTCGCCTCCGACACGCCCTCCGACAGCTGATCGCGGTCAGTGAAGGTGAGCGAACAGGCAACGGAATGTGAAATGTGGAAGGCGGAGAATGTGGAATGTGGGGCGCACCTCGCGGAAGAGTTCGGCGCAGAACTGAGATCGAAGGGCGCGCGACAGGAGCGCGATCGTGGCGGTGGCGCCGGTCGCCTCCTCGGCGTCTTCTCGTCCTATGAAGCGAGCACCACGTGAGAAGCCGTGCGTGTCGTGCCGTGCCGTGCCGTGCGTGCGGTGTGTGCATGCGCGTGTCGTGCGTGCGTCGTGCGCGTGTCGTGCATCGTTGGTCTTACCTTGAGAAGCAAGCGGGAGGGAGTAGGTGGAGTGTTGGTGGGTGGTGAGGATTCGCAGCGACTTGTCGACGCGCGAAGGGGCCATGTGCACTACAACCTCGCCCGTGCGCGTCTTCCGCAAATCCACCTCACACGCATCTACACGAGCCCAGCGTCGTGTGCGGTGGTGCGTGTGCGTGCGTGTGTGCGTGTGCGTGTGCGTGTGTCGGATGAGATCAACCGATGCGGAGAGGGGATTCTTAAGAAGAAGAAGAGTTACCGGCACTGCTGCCGCTGCAGGGGATGGCGTATTCGGCCACGATGGCGCGGGGCGGCCGGCCGCGGAGCTTCACCTCCTTGCGGAGGGTGAGGATCTCGTCGTTGTATCGCTTCTCCCTCGCCACCAGCGTCCGCAGACGGGTCGCCGCCTTCGTCAGGTCCGTCGCCGCCTTCTCCAGTTGCTGTTTGGTTGGGTGGACGACACGCACGGCACACACATCGCACGACACACACGACACACGACACGCACGACACACACGACACATCGCAACAGACGCAGGTGAGTGAGCAGGAGAGACGAGGGCGATCGTTGTTCTTGGGGGAGGGAGGGCACCTTCTGCTTGGCGAGGATGGTGAAGGCCTGCGAATCGACCGCCCGCGAGACCGGAGGCGGCTGCTTCTGGATGAGGGCCGTGGCGAGGTGCTCCCCGCGCTGGGCCATGTCTATGAACCCAAACATGAGCTCCATCTCGCCCATCGCATGCCTGATGGCGCAATCAGCGGTCAGCCCGGCGCGCGTGTGCGTGTGTCGTGTGTCGTGTGTCGTGTGTCGTGTGTCGTGTGTCGTGTGTGTCGTGTGTGTCGTGTGTGTCGTGTGTGTCGTGTGTGTCGTGTGTGTCGTGTGTCGTGTGTCGTGTGTGTCGTGCGTGTGGCGAGGGAAGGGTAGTGGTGCGGACCGCATGCGTGCGAAGATGGCGTCGCGGCGAGTGGCTTCGAGGCGCATGCGCTCCTCGCGCTTCTTCTGTGCTTCCCGGGTCCGCGCCTCGGCGCCCTCTTCATCGCCCTTGCCGCTGCGGCCCTTCTCGTACTTGAAAAAGTCCACCTGCCGCGCTCGCTGCGTGAACAGCTCCTGCGCGTCCTTCTCCCTACATACGCGGGTCCAACATAAATCAATAAAATGTTCTGCAAATGATTTGTGAATGAAAAGAGATTAAATCGGGGGGGGGGCACTCGTCGAGTACGTTTCGAGCTGCTCGGTGACGGCGGCAGGATTGGCGGGTTCTTCGAGGTAGCAGAGCACCTTCCGGTCGTCGCTCCATGCCGCATCCACCGTCACACGCACGCCATCCGCAGCTCCCTCCATCTCTGTGGATGTCTTTTTATATTTCGGATTTCTTTTCGTTTTAATTACTTTTCGCGACTTGTTCGCAAACGTTTCGGCGGAATTTGAAAACGGGGAGCATTTTGAGCGGAAAGCAAGAGGAGCAGGGTACGAGATGTGCGAGAAGGGGACGAGGGGTTCGGCTGAGCCCACACGGGGCCGTCTTCTCGAGATGGTCGCGGTCTCCAGCAACGGTACAAAGATGTTGTATTCAAATTCAACAAGGAGCCAGCCTTTTCCAACATAATAAGCCTTCATTCAATCATTGATTCATCCAAGTACACAGACAAATAGACTGTCATGTTTCCCGTTCAAAACTTTGAGGAGAGGGAGATGCGTGGCGGCTCGACCGGGCTGAAGATGGACGAGGCTCGACCCAGCCGCAGGGGCGCCACACCCGCCCTACCCGACCAAGGCGAGCACGACTTTGGCAGCTCGTCCGCCCGCTTCTTCCAGCCCAGCGCCAAGGCAGGCGCCAAGGCAGACGCCAGCGGCAGTGCAGGCGACCGCGACTTTGGCAGCTCGGCCGACCGCTTCTTCCATAGCCACTACACCGGCGACGCGCGGGACCTCCTGGCGCCCTCCACCGAGAGCGTAGACGAGGCCGAGGCCGAGGCTGGTCTGGACCGCGACTTTGGCAGCAGCACGTCGGCGCTCTTCCGCAGTAGTGAGCAGCCGGATGAAGGCCACCGCAGTACGATCACCGTTCCGCTTCTTCTTTTGCTGCTTCTTCTTCTTCCGCGACTTGGTCTGTGCTCTATGGAATGGTAGGCTGACTGATACGATCGTGGGTGCATGCGCAGTGTGCGGGATGGTGGCCAACCTGCTCAAGTCGCGCGGCATGCGGAAGGAGGAGTCGGCAGACGACGTCTGTCGCTCAGTCTCCGGCACCGACCAGACCTCCGTACACGCCCTCTTCTTCTTCATCATCGAAGATCAATGGCTGATGACCGGCTTTGTGTGCAGTGTAATTTCTTCGTGCGCGCGTTCGGATCGGACATCCTGCAGAAGCTCGGCGAGGAGCCCATCGACGACATCTGCGACGAGCTCGACTATGCCAAGACGCGCCCTCCCGGCTGCACGGCCAGAGCGACGCCGCCAAGCTCGCCAACATCCAAGCCGGCGAGGACGCCCGACGGTACGCACCCTTGCTTCACCCGTTCGCTTCACAAACACACACGACACACGACACACACACGCCACATTGTGCTGATCGCGGCCGTACACAGAACGCGAGGAGGCGACCCGACCAGGGACAGCGCGCCGACGGCGAACCTGGACGAAGGCGCGCGCGTGCTGTCAGTCAGCCGCGCGCGAACGCCGTGGGGCGGCAGCGCGGGCCTGAACAAGGGCGGCCGGTCGATGCCGGTGGTGAGCTCAGCCCAGCAGAAGGAGGTTGGCTGGGACACGGTCGACCCGCACAACGAGGGCCACCCGGCCGCCAGCTCAGGCCGCGCCGGGCTCAAGGGCCTTGGCGTCAACATGGAGGGCCAATGATGAACTCATTCTTTGCATTAAGATGAACATTCTTCTTCTTCTTCTTCTTCTATAGCTCCTATTATGCAGGCAAAGCTGGGGCAGGGCACAGTGGTCCAGCCTGGCCTCGGCAGGGTGGTGAGTTTGGGGGGGGGGCTTGGAAAATGTTATCGGGCTGATCGCCGCTCGTGGTGAACCACAAAGGACCCGTGAGATCCTGAAGAGAAATCGGCCAAGCAAAGGCTGATCGACCCGCGACAGACCAGACGTCTTGATCCTTCCTTCCTCCTCAAGAACACGCATGACTGGGCTCTCGTTGCGAACTCTTTTGTTATAACAACGCAGCAACCGCACACACCGCACACACCTACATAAACACCATGTTCCCGGTTCAGAACTACGAAGATATGGAGGGAGACGACCACCACGGCCTGCGGGTGGACGAGCGCCCGGGCCGCAAGGGCGCCACGCGCGGCTGGATGGACGATCGCGAGGAGCACGACTTTGGGAGCACGACCGACCGCTTCTTTCGACGCGAGAAGCGGGGCGGCGAGAGCGACGACAACGCGGCCCTCAGGCGCGCCCGCGCCGAGAAGGAGGACCTGCGCACAGGCCTGTTCGGCCGCGGCAAGGCCGCCCGCCAGCAAGACGAAGCCCACAGCCGTACGTTCTCGCAGTCTCTCCTCTTGAGATGAAGAAGATGCAGACTCGATGGGTGTGTGTAGTGTGCAGGATGGTGACGGATCGCCTCAAGACGAGCGGCGGTGGCAGGAGGGAGGAGCACGCCAGCGAAGACGTGTGTCGTTCGCTTCAGCGGGCTGACAAGATCGCCGTACGTACCACACACACACGCACACGCACACACACACACACACACACAAACACACACGCTGTTAATGGTGAGTTGTGGCGTAGTGTCAGTACTTTGTGCGCACGTTCGGGGACGACATCATGAGCAGGCTGGACGAGCCCGTCGAGGAGATCTGCGAGGAGCTGGACTACGCCAAGACGGCGCCCTCGCGCCTGCAGAACCAAAGCGACGCCACCAAACGCGACAACATCCGCGGCGGCGAAGACGCACGACGGTACGCACCGCACACGACACGACACGCATCACGACACACGACACACCGCTCACGCGTGTGCGACAGGGCGCGAGGAGGCGACCCGACCAGGGACCGCGCGCCGACGGCCGATCTGGACGAGGGCGCTCGTGGGCTGACGGTCAGCCGCGCCCGCACGCCGGGCGGCGGCAGCGCGGGCCTGAACAAGGGCGGCCGGTCGATGCCGGTGGTGAGCTCGGCCCAGCAGAAGGAGGTCGGCAGGAGCTCGGTCGACCCGCACGACGAGGGCCACCCGGCCGCCAGCTCGGGCCGCGCCGGCCTCAAGGGCGTCGGAGTCAACCGCCAGGGCGAATAAGAGTCGATGATGACGTCAGCTGAATAAAGCTGGCCAGTGGCGTGACCACTTTTTAGCTAGAAAGCCAGGCGTAGACGTTGCGCGGGACGCTCTGGAGGAGGACGTGGTGGGCCGTAGTCCCGTTTCGTCGCATGCGGAACATGAGCCCCTTCCACTCCTCGCCGGCCACCCGCTTCGCGAAGGCCTTCTCTCTTTTGTCGCTATCGTCGTCGTCGTCTTCGTTCTTTTCTTCGGCCACGATGCGGTCGTAGGTGGTCTGGACGCGGGCGGCCAGCTCGTCGAATCGCCTTTCGACGCTGGCGTAGAGGTCGGCGTGTTCCGGGAAGTACGCCGCGAATCCGAGGTCTTCTTCGCCTTCGCTTTCGTTCTTTTTTGAGCTTGCAGCTGTCGCTAACGATGACGATCGTCGTTCGAGGAGGACATGGAGAACCTCCTTCTCGAGCGCGTGCCGATCGTTCTTGGTGTTGGTCTGCTCCGGCGAGTGAATGTAACAATAGAATTTCCTATACAACGGCGGCACCTGCATTCGCGTATCTCATCAGCCTAACAGTGTTGTGTGTGCCGTGTGTCGTGTGTTCTACGCGCGTGCGGTGGTGCGTGTGTGGCGTGTCGTGTGTCGTGTGGGAGGTGTGTACGGCGTTGGCCTGGTCCATGGGTTTGACGGGGTCTTTGGGGAAGCGCTCCATCAGGTGGAGGTAGGTGGGTCGGCAGCGTCGCTCGTAGTCCTCCCACAGAAGTGAGGTCATGGGCCGCACCTCCTCCCAATACGGATTGGCCACCAGGTAGTCCTCGATCCGCCCCGTCTCAAACAACTGAATCCCAAAGTGCAGGTACCTAGCGACACACGACACACGGCACGACACACGACACACGACACGACACACACGACACACACGCATTTGAGTGGTGAGGAACAAGAAGTGGTGGATGGAAGCGAGCAACGCACCGAAGGGAGTGGGTGAGCATCTTCTTGCTCTTGCGGAGGAGCTGGTCCTGCTCTTCTAAGGCCTTGGGCTGGTCCTCGGTACCGCCGCGCGCGAGCTTGTGGGCCTGCTTGCAGTAGACCTTGGCCCGGTTCATCGAACTGCAGGCCTTCATGAAGAACGCCTTCTTCAACTTGTCGACCTGCAGTGTCCACCCCTCGAGCAGCGCGGCAGCGGGAATGGTCTGACGAGCGCGATGATGAGTGTCAACAGCGCGTGTGCGGTGGTGCGTGTGGCGTGTGGCGTGTGCTGCTGTTGTGTTTACCTCGAGCCATACATTGTCGCGAGGGAGGAAGACGCTGTAGAGCGCAATGAAGTGGTGGTCGCGCACCATTTCCTGATGAGTGGAGCGTTCAATGGTCAGCTCAAGCAGCAAAAAAAAGAACGAGGAGGATACGGCACGGTGGATTCCCGGGTGGTCGCCCACCCCAGTACTAGCACCGCCTGGCGCAGCTTAACTTCGCTGTTCGGATGGGAAGCGGTGCTTTCTGCGCAGTGTGGCCGTATCCAACCACACTCGCGCCGCACCATCGCGTCCTTATGTCCAGCTCACCACTACATGTAGGAGTGCGGCGAGGGTGCAAACCTGGAACGTGGCGAGGGTGTAGATGCAGGCGTTGAACTGGCCGCGGTCGATGAGGTTCGTTCCCTGGTAGTCGTCTGGCACGAGGAACAGGAAGTCCCTGCGCGGGAAGAGAGGCATGACCACGTCAACACAGGCGACGGTGCGCGGGTAGGAGAGTGGTGGGGAGTATGGCGCGGTACCAGTCGGACCCGGGCTCGGCGGTCTGGTAGACGCGGGAGCCAAGCTGGTAGACATTGAGCACCCGGGGCAGTGCCTCATCGGCCGTGCCGCCAGGCGCTTCCGAGTGCGGGAGGCTGAAGCCGAGCGCCTGCACCATGGTTATTATTTTATTTTAATTTTATTTTATTGTATTTTATTGTATTTTATTAATCTTGTTTGCATGAAACGTAAACTCGAGCAAGACGAGTTGGGCAGAGGGAGTGCAAACCTTAAGCACAACGGGCAACGTCACGTCGGCCTCAGGGATCCAGTGGTCAGTTGCGTCCATCTCTTCTTGCTCGTTCGCACAAATATGACCTTTTTTATGTCATGCCTGGCATTCCGTGCAATTTTTCTTCTTTTTCTTTTGCTGTTCGCATTGGCCAAGGGGGTCGATTTTGAATCGAAGAACATAGAGATCACAAGATGTCGGCTGAGGATGATGAGCGAGTGGGTATGGAGGTGGACGAAGAGCCCAACTTGCGGAGACGAACACAGCGCGAGGACGAGGAAGAGCGGAATGACGAAAATGACGAGCGGCGAGAGGAGGGCGAAAGCGATGAGGAGGACGAAGATGGCGAGGATCACACTGGCGAGAAGGGCGAGGGGAAGAAGAAGAGGAAGGAGCCCAATCCGCACGAAGGGAGGCTCAAATTCCGGAACTACGTCCCACGGGATAACCTGCTGCGCGAGCTGAGGATCGAGCCAGCCCCGCTGCCGTCGATGGTGGGTGAGATCAACCGAAAGCTGATCATGATGGAGGGCAGGAGGGGCGAAGATCTGCTGGCTCTGGCGCCCAAGAAGCCCAATTGGGATCTCAAGCGCGACATCGAGAGGAAGCTCGATGCCCTCGAGAAGCGTACGCAGCGCGCCATCGTCCTTCTCCTCAAGCAGAAGCTCGAAGGTGGAGAAGGCGCCATCGAAGGCGCCGAGCGAATGATGATCGAGGCCAAGCAGGAGGGGCTCAGCCACATCGACTAAGTCGTTCCATTCCCGTTCTAGTAAGCCACCCTCACATCTCTCATCATCTCATGTTATTTATTCCTTCAATAAATGCTCTACGCCTGTCCATCTCCATCGCTTTCATCTTCATCTTGGCTATTTTATTTTTGGTCTCTACGCGCCAGCAGATGGAGGAAAGAGTGCCGGCCAGCACCATCGCGGGATGAGCGTCTCTTCGCGTCTCCTTCTCTCACCTTCCTCCCCATCCATCCTTTCACCATCATGCAGCAGCTGCGCCCCGTCTCCTTCATCATCTTCACCTTCATCGCCCTCCAGCTCGCCGTGCGCGCCGAGGTGGCGGAAGAGGCCGGGGAGCGGGTGGAAGGGCATGTGGCGGCGGTACTGACCGCGCGTGAGGGCGAGACAGTGACGCACCTCGTCGTCGGTGCCCACGCACTCCAGCGGCTTCATCCGGCCCTCGCGCCCCAGCAGCTCCTCGAACATCACGAACAGCGACTCGCGCTCCTGCACACCACATCAGCATTCACAAGTGAGTGTCGCGTGCGCGTGTCGCGTGCGCGTGTCGTGTGTCGTGTCGTTTAGCGTACGAGGAGGTTGTCACCGAACACGGCCCACACTTCGCGAGGAGGGAGGTAGGCCGATAGGAGAAGAAACACGAAGCAGCACTTGGGACAGTTGGCGCACCACCGCGACCCCTCCTTCTCTGCGAGTGTCCCCATTCACCGCACACGACCCCAACACACCGCACACACCGCACACACCGCACACGACGCGTAACAATGATCGACTGATGAGAGGGAGAGCGGAGGGTACGAGGCGAAGCGTGAGTGGGCACCGAGGGGGAAGTTGCAGCTGATGAAGAGGTGCAGGTAGTTGCGGCGCGAGTTGGAGCCCTCCCGAAGGAATCGCTTCATGATGTCGATCTCCCACAGGGGCTGGAGCGCGGAGAAGTAGTAGACGTCGTCGGTGATGTACTCTCGGATGAACGCGTTGCACTCGCGCTCGAACACGAGGCTCTTGTCGTACTGGTGGTTGATGTCCATCCCTGAGTCCACACGACACACGACACACGACACACGACACACGACACACGACACACGACACACGACACACGACACACGACACACGACACACGACACACGACACACAGGTGAATGGGTGGGTGTGCCAAGGAAGAAGGTGGAGCTGGAGGTGCGGCGCGGTACCGAGGTAGGTGGTGTTGCCAAAGTTGGCGCTCTTCTCGTTGCCCACGGCGATGAAGTCCAGGTCGTTGAGCAGCGCCACCAACACCGAAGAGAAGGCGACCATGGCTGTGTCCAGCGCATTGCGACGCACATGGTGAGCGATCACGGTCGCGCGCAGCAGTGGAGCAAGAGAGAAGGAATGATGAAGAATGCCGAGCACGCACCGGCCCAGGGGGGACACTGCGGGGCGATATGCGCGCGCCAGTCGCTGTTCCACAGCTTGTCGCTGAACTCGAGCTCCCGCAGCCCTTCGAGCGTGGCATGGGGCACCGTCGGCGGACGTCGCTTGGTGTCTGCTGCACTCGTTTTTTTTGTAGAAGTGTGAGCCTTGTGGTGCGTATCGTGTGCGTGTGCTGTGGTGCGTGTGCGTGTGCGTGTGCGTGTGCGTGTGCGTGAGCCTTGTGGTGCGTATCGTGTGCGTGTGCGTGTGTCGAACGTTCACGCATAACTCACGGTGCGTACGATTGTCCTCTTCTTCTGGCGGCTCTCCTGAAGCGCGGATGATGGCCGAAAGTCGCCAGTTGCGGTCAAACTCCCCGTAGCGCTCCGCCAGGTAGAACCACATCAACGGCGCCCCTGGTGATCGCAACAGAGAATGAGTCTTTATCATCATCGTCGTCGTCATCATACGCGCTTCAACAGAAGAAGAAGGGATCGAGCGCACACCCGTTCGTTTGAGGACCTCGAAGGCGAGCAGGGAGTCCTTTCCGCCGCCCAGCGGCACCAGCACACCCTTGGGCTTGCGCGTTTCCCACCACCCGCCGTCCGCCCATTGATCGCCGGCAGCCGCTCGCTCGTGGCCATGATCGTGGCCGTGGTCGCGGCCGTGGCCGTGGTCGTCGCCATCGACACCACCATCGGCGTCGACGCCTTCCCACACGAGCTCGACGCTGTTGCGAAAGTCGAGCTTGTTGACGAAGTAGAACTCGCCCAGCGAGCGGAGGAAGATGTGCTCGCGCCAGAAGGCGAGCTCGCGCGGACACATGCGCGGCCCGGCCCGCACGACGATGCGCGGGCAGTAGAAGCGCATGTAGAACCACGCAGCGTAGACCATGCCCACCGCACGCACGGCCCTGTCCATGCGCTGCAGGCGGTCCCTGGTGCACTGGCAGAGAAACGTTATTTATTTATTGATTTATTTATTTACTGATTTTAAAAAATCAAAGATAATTGGAAATGGTACCTTTTGGCGATTGGCGTCGTCGGTGGTGGTGAGGGAGGCCAATTCTGCCACGAGCTGGCGGTAGCGACTCAAATCGATCTTCAATTCGGGCGCCATGCGAACGGCATTGCAAAAGCTGAAGCGGAAGATGAGAACGTCGCGGTCGTGCTGCACCTCGTAGCCGTCGTACGACAGGAACTCCACGTTCCTCTCCTCGTCGAACATCGACAGGCCTCCTTCTTCATCCGTCAGATTTTCACCCTCGGCATTATCCCACATTCTCTCCGCGTGTGTGGGTGGAACGCCGGCCGCAATCGATTGCACGTGATCGAGAGCTCTTTGCGAACACCAGCCAGCCCCGAAGCTCAAGGTCGAATGAGATTCGATCGTTCTGATTTTCCAATTTTCGGTTCCCGTTTATTTTGGTCATTGACATAGTCGGGATTCGATCCGGCGTTGGATGGGCTGGGCGGAAAGCACAGCGGCACCGAATGGCCGAGAGCTGAAGTGACCGTTGTTTGGAGCACAACCGCAGCTGCGGCCCAATAAATATGACCGCAGGCCGAGCGCTACACTTTTTTCACAACACCAGCCAGCGAAGTAGTAGCAGCGCCATCGATTTCGAATCGCAATCAACATAATGAGCGAGAGGCCGAAGAGGAACAGCAAGACCCCGACGAGGTTCAACCCGGAGGCGGCGGTGGAGAAGGCCGACAAGGCCGAGAAGAAGAAGAAGGTCCCCGTCAAGAAGACCAGGGCCACCAAGAAGGGCAAGAAGGAGAAGGACCCCAACGCTCCTAAGCGCGCCAAGACCGCCTACATCATCTTCGCCACCGAGGAGAGGCCACGAGCGAAGGCGGTACGTAACGGTTCAACACAGGAGATCTTGTTGTGACCCTCTTTTCTTTGGCTTTTCCCTTTCGCAACGCAACGGTCACATCGTTCGCGCTTGATGTAACGGCTAGTTTGCAGATGGCCTGACATTGAATCCACTTCATCATTTAGGACAACCCCGAGCTCGGCTTCGGCGATCTCACAAAGTGCGTGTCCGACAAATGGAAGGCCTTGTCGGATGATGAGAAGGCGCCCTACCTCGAAAAGGCTGCCCAGGATAAGGAGAGGTATGCGGACGAGGTCTCCAAGTACAACAAGAGCAAGTCTGACGATTCCGGCAAGTCGGAAGATGGCTCTGATGAAGAGGATGATGGTGACGAGTAAGGTGCAGGCATTCGATGCACTTCTTACAGCCCACCGAGCCAGATGGCCGGTTGATTTTTTCACTTGTACAAAAAGCACTGCGTCGAACAAACAAAGATTCAACCACGTTGAAAGCGAATGGATTGAAGTATTTACTGCTTGCTACTCGCTTGCATAAGTATTACAAAGATGTGAGATGCATGAAGATGAGGAGAGAGCACGTTTAGGCCTGCACCTCCGCGGCAGCGGGTGTCTCCTCCTGGGGCTGCGGGTGAGCCTCAGTCCACTGCTTCTTCTCGTCCTCGAACGCCTTCTTCTGCTCTTCGAAGGCCTTTCGCTGCT